CCAGAAAGACGGTACCACAATCCACCAAAGGACACACCCTCTAATCCCATGAAATGTGAAGAGTCCAAGCACCCTGGGACCAAAGGAGCCATCTGCTCAGTGTCTGCCTCATGCAGCATCCATGTGCTGCCCACCAGCGAGTAGGTGCCATGAGTCAGGAGCAATGAAGGTCATAAAAGTTCACAAGCTCTGCAGCTCATCTGCACACCGCCAAGGGTCACTGCTGGAGAGGTTACCTTCTAGAAAGCCTGAAGAACACACTCAAGGAAGCATTTCAGTTGCTGGGCTGTTTGTAGGAGTTTTCTTACAGGAAATTACTCCTTCTGGTAGGGTCTCATTTGATGACAGGAAGTCCAGCTCCCTGGATGTTTGGTTGGGTGCTGGCTGGGCTTGCAGACCCTCCATGCCTGTTGCTGTGGTTTCCAGCTCCTTTCTCTTGCTTGACCACTGTGTTATTTTACACCCCATGTAAAATGGCAGAGGTGGAAGTGGAAGAGGAAGGTGGCCAAGGAATTTCATGGCTTCTCAACATGGAAACCTGGACCCCTAACTTCAAAACTTCCAGATACTGACCATCTCTCCCTAGAAAAAGAACTAAATCAAAATAAAAAATCTTATAATGCTTCTCACAGAAAATGGGGCTTTTAGAAATTGTCTCATAGTCTGTTGAGCCCTTAAGATTTCTGTAAGTATCCAACCAGTTGTATTTATTCCTTCCTCATCCCAAAGGACTGTGTTCCCAAAGACTTCCTAGAACAAAATATCTGATACTAAGATAGCTTAAAACCCCACTCCTTGGAAGAAAATCCATTCCAGGACCCAGTATACAACAATGAATGTCTGCCACCACTGCCAGACCCTGAACCCATAGGGCAAGCTTCTGCAGGACCATGGATTCTCAATATCTGGTTTCTTCCCATTTAGCATGTGTTTAAGGTTTATCCATGGTGTAGCACTACCAGTACTTCACTCCTTTTTATAGCTAAATAATATTCCATTGTATGGATATGCCACATTTTGTTTATCCATTTACCAACTGATGGGCTTTGGGTATGATTTCAGTTTGGGCTATTATAAATAATGTAGCTTTAACCATTTGTGTACGTTTTTATGAGGCCACAATTCTTCAGTTCTCTTGGTTATGTACCCAGAAGCCAATTTCTGGATAATGGTAAGCTTTGGATAAAATAACCCACAAGGCAACACACCACTCACAGGACATGAGCCTGGGATCTAGAGATGGCTTTCTTCTAAGTAATGAATCCTTTGTGGATTTTTCTATATTCATTACAGAAACAAGTAAATTTCTCCCCAATAATTCCTTTTAGAGTGCATTTATAAGACACAATCATTATCACTCCCAACACCAAATGCATAAACCAAAGAAAAGTAGATAAACTACACATCATCAAAATTCAAAATGCTGCACCTCAAATTACACCATCAAAAAAGTGAAGAGACAGGGACACCTGGGTGGCTCAGTTGGTTATGTCTCTACCTTCAGCTCAGGTCACAATACCAGGGTCCTGGGAGTGATCCTGGGGTCCTGGGATGGAGTTCCACATCGATCCGGCTTCCTGCATGGAGGCTGCTTCTCTCTCTGCCTATGTTTCTGCCTCTGTGTGTGTGTGTCTCATGAATGAATGATGAATGAATGAATGAATGAATGAAATCTTTTTTTTAAAAAAAAGTGTCCAACTCTTGGTTTTGGCTCAGGTCACGATCTTAGGGTCCTGAGATTGAGCCCTACGTCAGGCTCTGCACTCAGCATGGAGTCTGCTTTTTCCTCTCCATCTGCTCCTCCCTCCCCATAAATAAATAATTTTTTAAAAATCCTTAAAAACCATTACAGCAAGTGAAAGAAGGCAGATAAAAATGACCACTCATAGTATTATACTTGTAAGACCTGTCCAAAACAGATCTATAGAGAGGGAAAGTATATTTGTGGTTGCCTAGAGCTGAGGGTGGATGGAAAGGGAGACTGCTAATAGGTATAGGGTATCTTTTAGGGAAAATGATTGTAGTGTTGATTGCACAACTCTATAAATATACTAAAAACCATGAAATTATATATACTTCAAATGAAAATGTTATGGTTTGTAAATTACTGATTTAAGAAAAACAACACACCACATGTACGCTCACACATACACACACACACACTTTATAGACACTCCCCTCACAAGCTACATGGAAGGAAAACCTGCACAAGGCCCCAGACCAAACTGGACTGTCACTGGCTGGAGAGGGTGTTGCTTGGAGCGCCAGTGTGTTTTCTTTAACTCTGCAAGGTTTGTTTTTGCATCTGTAAATGAACTACATCAACACATCAGTTCTTCTCCCTTGGGGGGATGCTTTTATTGAACAGTAACTTCATGAAACCCCTGAGATATTTTCATCAGTTCATTTCCAGGTAAACACAAAGTACTAGCCATTCGCCCTGAACAATGCCAAGTTCACAGCATCCATTTTGTCACATAATGAAGAGCATTACACGTGGAGCACCCCTTGACTGCAGATGCCACTGTTGAGTCTACTTTTATGGTCTGTCCCTCCTTCACAAGGGGCCCAAAGGCACTGAGAGATTTCATGGTCTTCATATGGAGCTCTAAGCTCTATTTCCTTCCATTGGACTTTTCCCTCTTTCTAATGGGTGTAAGACAACAACTCCAGGGGAACACTCTAGAAGAGACTCTTCCAGAGAGAAGAGTCTGAGTCCAGTAAATACATTTCACTTATCTCTACATTGCCAGTACCCAGCACAGAGCCCAGTCCCAAGCAAGCATGCTAAATATTTGTTGTATAACAGGGTGGGTGGGAGATGGATGGATGGATGGATGGATGGATGGGTTGGTGGAGAGATGGAGAAATAAACAAATGGGCAGATGTGGGCAGATGGATGTACAGACAGGTGGGTGGTTGGACAGATGGATGGATGGACGGACGGATGGATGTCAGAAGGATGGATACACAGGCAGGTGAGTATATGGATAAATGAATGGAAGGATGGACAGATGAGTGGGTGGACAGATGGATGAGTAAATAAGTAACAGAGGTCCCATCACATGTGCCCTCTGACCACTAGGGGGGCAGCAGTGAGTATCTTGCCAGCACATGGGGCTGGTGCTCTCCTCCCCATCCCCAGGCTCCAAGATGAGCTTTACGGCACCCCTAAAAAGCTGAAACTGTTATTCCGTCCATCTCCAGCATTTAACAGAGGAGCAGAAGGAAGGTGTCACCCCTCACCCCTGAGGAGATCTGCTACCACTCATTCCCCACACAGTTACTGAAGACCAGGTCTACAATGGCACTGAGGAAACAAGAAGCAAATGAGCAGACCCAGGGCTGGTCCTGGTGGCTCATGGGAGTCACAGCCAAGTGGCCAGGGTCTTGAGGTCATGTAGGAAGGGGAGGAGGAGGTAGGTGGTCAGGAAGGGACACTGAAGCTGAGATTAGATGCCTTAGTAGGAATCAGGCTGACAAGTTGTGGGTGCAAAGGCACACACAACCACAGATGGGATGGGGGAGAGATGGCAGGAAGAAAGAGAGAGAGAGAAGGAGGAAGAGGACACACAGAGAGAGACAGAAGGACAGAGGGAGAGAAGGACAGGCATGTGCCCCAGGCAGAGTGAGCGGGTGAGTGCTGACCCTGGAGCAAGAGCACAGAGGAAAGGGAAGCCCAGGCAGCTGGGATAGAGAAAGCAAGGAAGGCGCCCAGAGATGGGAACTGAGTCTTCAGGGCCCTAGGAAGCCCCAGAGACAGTGATAAAGCCATTGAGGAGTGTCCTCAGGGATAAGGTCAAATTTGCATTCACCCACAAGTAGGGGCTGGGACTGGGCTGCCTGCCCCAAGAGGACCCAGGCAGCTTTCATTGGTTGGAATCCTACTGAACACTGGTGAGACTAGGCCAGCTGCAGAGAAAGCCCTACCACAGCTTCCAGGGAGCAGGCTCTGGGGCCTCATGAAGCAGCCCAGACTGTGCCTTACCCTGTGAAGCCTGCTTGCCTGTCCTCACCGGGGTCTTCCAGACTGGGTCCTTGGCTCAGCTCAGAATCCCCAACGGTGGCCAAGTATGTGCCGCGAGCAGGGTGGTATAGATAGCGGAGGAGGCCACTGTCTCGCTAGGTGCAGGCAGGCCATTAGCTCTACAGTCACTTTTACCAGTACAAGCCTTTTTCCTAGAGGCATCAATATGCTGGAAGAGCCATCAGCACAAAGTTCCCTCCAGTGGCTTCTCCTCTGAATGGGGTTATGGCTACGATCCTGATGTTCCCTGGAACCCACTCTGAGTGCCTCCTGTATACCAGGCCAGATGTGAGTGAGGGTGTACATCAGCAGGCAGTCCCAGCCACTGCCCTCAGGGAGCTCCTGATATGGCAAAAGCTTCTCTGGAAAAGATTCTTCTCCCCAGAAACCCTTCTGGTGTCTGTGGTCTCATGATGACATCTGAGCTGGCGTGGGCAGACCTGAGACAGATTGCTGCAGTGCAGACCAGAAGGGGCATGGCCCTTCTCAGAGTTTCCTTGTGTGAAAGAAGGTTCAAGTGGTTCCAGTACCGTCTACAAATTCATCCTGAGTCACATAAACCATATCAGGTTTAACAAAGGCACTTCCGAAATCGAAGCTCGGGAAAATAACTGCCTGTACCTGTTGAGATCTCTGTGCTTGAAGACTGAAGCACTCTCCCAGGCTTCCTCTCACCTGGGCCCCCCAAAAAGCCTGAGGTAGGCAGGGTCTATGCCCTAGCTTTTCTCCTCAAAGGGCAACATAGCAAGGGCAGAGGCTGGCTCCTGGCCACCCACAGAGTGACAGAGGCAGCCCTCACACCCATATTCCCTGAGTCCCCAAGACTCAGACTGGCCTCTGCGAGTTAAGAGCTGGGCCGCATGTGCTTCTGCTGGGACTCCCAGGCTAGCCCCACATCCATCACAGTCCTCTTGGCCTCTTTCTCCTCTGGCTCGGCCCAGCGGGCTGGTCTAAGCTGCCCCACGGCTGCTTCTTTCACTCCGCAGTCTTGATCACTCTTTGTCTGTTCCAGTTCTCCGCTGGTCCTCTCCTGAATCAAAAAAGAATCAACCAAGCTTTCCAACACATGGTGTAATGGGCCTGCCAGTGTCCTGGCCAGGTCAGGCCCTTGCACATGCTGTGTGCTCAGATTCAAAACAGACAAGTCAGGTCCAAACACTCCAGCCAGCTATGGGGACACTGTATTTTGTTCATAAGATTCTCTGAGTTATGTATTTACTGGTGGGAACGTATTTCCTGACAGGAACTGAAGAGCCCAGCCCATGGAAAGAGAAAGAGCAAAGCAAGGAAGCTCTACTTTTCAAAGGTGGTGCTCTTATGACTAATGATATGGACTTCCCCAGACACGTGCCCATGGGTGTGACATCACACCGAACCTCTCCTGCTTCTCTAACAGCCTTCAAGGTTTAAAAGGAAAGTCAGAGAGGGGCAGCTGGGTGGCTCACTGGTTGAACATCTGCCTTTGGCTCAGGTCATGATCCCGGGGTCCTGGGATTGAGTCCCACTTCGAGCTCCCCATAGGGAGCCTGCTTCTCCCTCTGCCTATGTCTCTGCCTCTCTCTGTGTGTCTCTCATGAATAAATAAATAAAATCTTTAAAAAAAAAAAAAAAAAAACATGAAAGTCCTAGATCAGCAAAGAGGCAAAGCACAATACTCGCAATTCAGTGGCCTGGTAGGGCCATATATTAGCCCTTTTCCAAGGAAAATGAAAGCCCTCCTCTGCCAGCTTTTCTAAAACAATCCAGCACTTACTAGGATATATTATGCCTTTGATGTTGAGTCTTCTATCCCAGTACCACCTACTTTCCAAAATAAGCAACAATGCTCACAAGCTGCAACTGTAAGTTTTGGAGTTTAAAATCACTGACTCTTTAGGAATTCAAGAGCAAAGATGCTTGTCATCTGAATTACCTTGCATGGCGAGTATCTGTCTGGGCTTCAGGGAATTGCTTAATGGAATCACACACTTCCAATCTTATGAAACACTGAACAGACAATGGGCCACTAAGAAATACTTAGCAGCCATCTTTATCCATAGTTTCTCTTCTCTCATCACTCTGGGTTCTATGATAACCTAATGCCATATTCCATTTTCTAGCATCTGGGCTTGAGGGGCAGAGTAGGAGAGAAAGAAATTTGTCCACACATTTGCTCTGCTTGAAAGATGCTGGTCCGTGGCAGAATGTGAAATTCAGATTTTTCAATATTTCCTTAACAATGCAAGGCTACAGCTGATTCCCATGTGTCCCGTTTAGTTCTGGCTTTGTCAGAGCTTGTCTAGCTTCAAGAAGAGCCTCTCCTCATACTGCAGTACAGAGACTCTGAGTCAACAGCCCACAGCCATGGAGAAGCCCACAGCCAAGGTTATTAGGAAGATGCTTTGTAAGTTTAGAGCTTCACTAAACAAGCACAACATGATTCCTAAGAAAACAAAACCCATTCCTAGTACAACACATTCACCACCGTACCTTCTTGTCATCTTGAGATGGTCTGGGCCCATCATCTGGAGAAGTCCGCCCATGATGGCTCATGTCCTCCTTGGAATTTCCTGGGTGAGCTGCCCTCCCCAACCAAGAAAGCAGGATAAGCAAACAGGGGTGGTTCCAAGGGAGTGGACAATCGAAAGATTAATAATACACTTGGGACCCCTCCAAAAGCACTGATCACCACAACCCAATTCCATCTTATTGACTTTCACTGTGCTATCTGCTACAGCACCCTCCGGAGGACAGGGAAACCTGCCAGGTTTGGGCAGACGTGAAGTGATGGCTCTACTCAAGGGTTTCTGATCTGGAATTTGATCTTTTCTTCCAATTATTCAGATGTTAAATGGAGTCAGTTTCTAGTTATATTCCTTTGCTCACTAGAATTTTTACTTGAAAGAGAGCCCATAATCACACTTTTAAATTCAGCCCCCCACTCCCTCTTACCAAATCAGCCCCAACTTGGAAAGGGATGATTTTCTTATCCCACTGTGTACTTCCCTAGGCCCCAAAATCCATGTGTGGATGTGTGTGTGTGTGTGTGTGTGTGTGTGTGTGTTGGAAGAGTGTTCAGATCCTTTAGGAAAAAAATATTCAGTTTTCCATTTGAGCCAAAAATGTAAATGAAACACATTTTTCAGGGCACCCGGGTGGCTCAGTTGGTTAGGCATCTGACTGTTGATCTCAGCTCAGGTCTTGATCTCAGAGTGGTAAGTTCCATGCTGGGCATGGAACACACTTAAAAAAAAAAAAATAAGAAACACACTTTTCAAATAAGAATATATTATTTAGTTGTTACCTATATACATAAATTTTAAAATCTATTTATAGACTTTATGAATTAGCCAACTTTGGTTTGGCAAAACTGAATCATAAGCATTTAAAAATACCAGCATACTTTAGTGCTCTCTCAGAGTTTCTATATAATGCAGTAATGGTTGCCCACATTGCCCACATACTTCTCTGTAAAAATGCAAACTCTAAATGAGTTCAGACTCAGTCAGCCTCAGTATCCTTATCACCTTTTCCACTGGCCCAGCACTGGTAGATCCAACATTATAGTAATCTATTGAATGAATGAGAAAATACGTGAACGTATGAATGAAAGAATGAATGAGAGAATGAAGTAGACAATCCCTTATTTCCTACCCTTCCTGATGTGTAAGTCTATGTGTTTACGTGGTATGGACTAAAGCATGATAGAAACTACCAAATACTTGCTCATATTTTATTCCTAACCAATAAAGGTTCAATAATTTTTAAAAATGAATGCTCTAATTTGGAAGCACCAGGATAAGACTCTGAGAAGCAACCACACAGGTGGGTCAAAGTAAGTTACCATCCAGGAGTTGCCATCCAGGACGCAGTAGATGACAATAGCCACGAGAGGGAGCCACACAACCTTTCAAAAGAGCAGCATTAGGAAAAACCCATCCAGTATGGTGGTTCTCCTCTCAGCACTTCCCCACCACAGCTCATTGCCATAAAACTGCTATTACTACTGCACTGTATAATGTCCAACTCATCATCAGAACAAGGTGAGATGAGGCTAGAGCTGCAGTTTGCTAAGATTCACACTTTTAGAAAAATGACCCCACCTCCCCAGCTCATATATTTCACATATTTTTATGTACACTCTAGCATTATAAATTAAATGTAAATAGAAGAAAATTATTTTCCCTACGGATGATGATTGAATATATTAAACATCCACCTGGAAAAAAAGCAAAACTATAACCTAAGGAATGAAAAAATTAATTTTTAAAGCTGTGTGCAATTACTTCCTGCCTCCAGCCACATTTTTGTAACTTTCCACTGTTGGAGCATTCAATTTCATCTCCTCCACTACAAAAACCTAAAGCATGTGCAAGCTAAATGAGAAGTCACACTAGATAGAATTATGATCCTATTGGTCAAGTTTCAAAGGCTTCATATGTAACTGAGTGTAGGAAGAAAAAACTTTCCCACAAACTCCTTCTCTCAAAAGTTCTGAAAACCCTGTAAATATTTTCAGGGCCATTATAAGCCACAGATGTTATCAACAGGCAAGATCCATGCAAACTTTAAAAGACCTAGTCCATAAAGGACTCTGCCTCAAAAATAGGTTTCGAAACTTTTGAAAAGAGCACAAGTTAATTTCCCTTTGGAATGATGTAAAATGTCCATGCCTTACTTAGAATGTAAAAAGCAACTGGCTCTGCTGGGCTTCTTGCTTACAGTTCTATTTCTACAGCACATGAAATTGTAGGAAACCTCCAAAATAACAGTCAGAAATAAAGGAACAAAAGATAGAACTTGAAAAACAGAACAATTCAAGAAAGCAACTCTAAGAATAACAGACTGATTAAAAACTAAAATTAAATTAAATGGCTATGTTAGGGATGCCTGGGTGGTTGAGTTGGTTAATCAGTTAAGCATTTGCCTTCAGCTTGGGTCATGATCCTGGAGTCCTGGGATTGAGCCCTGCAATGGACTCCCTGCGCAGCAGGGAGTCTGCTTCTCCCTCTGCTTCTCTTCCTCACTCATCCTCTCTTTCTCGCTGTCTCTCAAATAAAAATAAATAAAATCTTTAATTAAATAAATAAATGGCTGTGTGAGATTTCCAGGCAAGATAAGATTCCAGAACCTACACTGTTTGGTGACCTGTGGGAAAACCTAATGGGCTAACACTTGCAGATTTCCATGAAGGCAGAGACTAAAAACTGAGACACTGCAGAGCATCTGGGCAAATCTGTGATTGCATTTGCAGCCCCCACTCACCAACCCGGAAAAAAACCTGAAATGTCAGTGCTGACAAAATTGTTACAGGATGAAGCTGGCTGGCTGAAAACCTTCCCAAGTGAATTAAAATCCTGAGTGCTGGCCCTGGGGGGAGACAGAAGTTGTGGGTGAAACTGGGAACTAGCTATGATTTATACAAGGAGTGAAAAGACCATAATTTAGATTTTTTTTTTAATTATATAGTTTCAGTAATCTAATTATATCCTAATTATAATGATGACCCTTCTTTCTTCAAAAGACTCAAAGCATGCTTCTGGAACATTCTCTGTGAAAGTCCCCTCATTTGCTGTTTTAAAGAGAGAGTTGGCAAATCTCACAGTGAGTTAAAGTGACAGGTCTGGCATCTGACTCCCAGCTCAGTTTCCTGTGACCAGACCACACCAACTTTCAGCTCTTGAAATAACCCCCAGAGGAATTCTCCGAGGAAAGCAGTCTCCCCCATTATGCCAAAACATCCTCCCCCTGCTTGCCCCCCTCTGGCCTGTGCAATTTCCATATTATTTCCACATTCTGATATGCAAATCTTTTTTCTTTTTTCATTCCCAGCCAAGGAACTGTAACGTCCAAGACACAAAGGCCTCGTCCACGTGGGAGCTGCAGGCTCATTTGTGAAGCTCCTCGATAAACCCGTTGAGCTTACTGAGTGGGGATCCGGGCCAGCTCCCCCTTCATTTCTAACTGTGGATGCCACAGGGCAAGTCACTTAACCGCCTCATTAGGATCACAGTCACAGCCCTGCCAGTGGCCTCTTTCCCAGGTGCCTGGTCACCCCATTAATATCTGTAAAGATCCATTAAACCTTCTAGCTGAAAGGCACCATAAAAGCAAAACCTATCACTGTTACCATCAATAAACTCCAAGGCGCTCTTTCTTCCCTGTCACGACCTAAAGTAAATCAGTTATCCACTGTCCCCTAATGAGCTACCTGCAGCCTGGGAAATGGCATTTCATGCTGACAGGAGCTTTCTTTCCCAGGAGGGAAGAAAAGAAAAGCCAGCGCTTTTCACTTTGGCCAGTGAACTTAAACTGTGAGACCCTCCCGCGCCTCCCACCCATACACGGCACCTGCAGCCTTGTCCCCAGGGGCCCTCGCCATGAGCAGGGGGCTGAGAACCACCAACAATGTGCAGTCCAAATCACCCACGTGGAAGAGGTGGAAGGCACGCTGTTGAAAAGCAACTTGGAGAATCAGACACAACTGCATCTGGTCTTCCCACCTGTTGCCTCCCATTAGGACCCTCCATCAAAATCCCTGCAAACTCACGGTGGGGCTCTAACTGAGGACAAAACCCCAAACTGAGGACAATGTGTCTGTAAGAGGGGCTGCCCAAATCAACAACATCTCCACACAGCAGCATACTATGCTGCCAATAAAAAGGACAGAAAGGGGACACCTGGGTGGCTCAGCAGTTGAGCCTCTGTCTATGGCTCAGGCCTTGATCCTGGGGTCCTGGGATCAAGTCCGGCATCACCCTCCCTGCAGGAAGCCTGTTTCTCCCTCTGCCTCTATGTGTCTCTCGTAAATAAAGAAAATCTTAAAAAAAAAAAAAAAAAAGGACAGGAAGGACAAGGCACTCCTTTGCAGAATGCTATCTATGCAACACCACCGCTATGCATGCGTGTCATCTCCCACAAGGGAAGGGCGGGCATGGAAAGCTTGCGCTTCACAGTAAACCCTTTGGTGGCTTCACCAATCTTTAAGCAGGGGCACACGTTACTCTCCTTCCACGGTTCAGAGATCCCGTCTAGTTATAAACGGGGAGCCCCTCCGTCCCAGGGAGCTTCTGACTCAGCTGCATCGGGGGAGATCTAGAGCAAGGTCGAGAAGACGTGGTCCACTCAGGAAAGGAAGGTGGGCCGAGGACAAGAACCACCTCCCGGGTCTCGCTCCCTCCTGTTCCACCCGCACAGGCCAGACTCCATCGGTAGCATCGACCTGTGCTTCAACGGGCACGTCGCTCCCCGGGACTCACAGTCTGGAAGCTGGGCCTGCTGCCGCTGAACCTTCAGCCAGATGCTGCCTCGCTGGCCCCAGGCTCCCGGGGGCTGCACCTCCCACAGGCGCCCCCGCTCCTCCGGATGGGCCGCCAGGAACTTCCTGCAGACTGAGGATGCGCACGTGTCGGCCGGAAGGCCCGCCCCCCGCGGCCTCTCCGGGCAGGGCGCTTCCGGCTTCCGGTTCCTGTCGCGGCCCCGCCCGCCGCGCCCTGGCTCCCCGCGCTGATCCCGCTGCGCGCGAACCACGTCCTGTCCTGCTCCTGCTCCGGCTGCCACGTGCTCCCGCTTCCGTCCAGCGCGTCTTAGCCGGGGGTCGCTGTAACAACGCGTCCCACCCCGGGCGGGGGGCTTCACCGACAGACCTAAGCTGCCTCTGTGGGGGACAGAAGCCCCACATCCAGATGACCGCAGGGGCTCGCAGGGGGCTGCCTGGTTCCTGTGCCCGCACGTGGCCGTCCCTCGGTGTCTGTGTCCCGGGCCCCTCTTCTAAATAAGAACCGCTTCTTACCAGTCTACTGGATCAGGGCCCCACTCCTATGAACTCACTTAATCTTACTACCTCCACATACAGTCACTTGGGAGTGGGGAGAGGACGCTTCCACATAAGACTTGGGGGGGACCCCAGTGGAGCCCACAACATCACCCTACACTGTCCTCTCCTCAGGCACTGCCCTTCCCCCGAGCCTCGCCGGCTCTCCTCTCTAACAGAACCTTCCAGCGCATCCCCTGTGGATGCCTTGATTCCAGAGTCACCTCAAGGCTTAGAAACGTCTATGTCCACGTTCACAGGGTGAGCGTTTTTCACTTGGCAGTGAAATCCTGAATCCAGCCAAATGGGAAGCTGCTTGCTCCTGGTCCTGCAGGTGTCGGTGGGGGCAGCATCCGCCCGCTCCTAATATCTCCCAGCCCAGGGCAACTGCACAGATGGAAACCTCCAGAGCATGACACTAAGTATTCCGAAAGTGTAAGCCAAGCTAGCAGAGTGCTAGATAGAATGTTCTGCTCTCCCATCTTGACAAATATAACTTCATAATAACAGGGAAAGCTAGTTTCAAATTTAGCATTCTTGGACTCCTTGGAGTTTTGCACCAGAATGTAGCAATACCAAGAGAGCTGGCCCCCTGAAGGCAGCCCCCACCTGCTTCCCTTCCTACCCCAGCGCCACACACATACACCCAGCAAGGGGTCTGTGCGTACAAGTGTGGAAACCACGCCCATACTCCATCCACACCCCACCAATGGCTGTCCCTGGGGTCTAAAGATAGGCAAACTGGTGTCATGGTCCACCCTTAAGTGCATAGATCCAGGGATGGAGTCCACTCCCCACTCGGGCTTCAGCACCACTGGCAGGAAACCCGGGGTCCTGGTACCTTGAGTCAGCTTAGAAGGCATTGCCTGGACCCAGGTAGGAATACCCTCTTGGACCCACAGACCCCTTTATACCATGGAGAAAGACACAGCTGCAAGAGGCTCTAAAGCATGGGGCCATGGGCAGAGGAGTCCCTCTTGTCCATTCAAAGAGCAAGACTGTGCTCAATAAAAGTCAGTGAAGCATGCAGTCAGTGCACCTGCACCCAATCTTGAGCCTCCAGCAGCTTCTTTCTCCACAGTCTACCTGTTCACCTATGTGCCCAGATACAGCCAGGGTGGGGCCTGAGGCCCCAGCATGCTCAGTTAGACAGCTGAAACCCCAAAGACAAATAGCACGCTTCAGAATCAGCACCTTCATATCTTCTTTCTCTGCAGGGCAGAAACAGAGAAGGAAAAACAGGGATCCACAGAACCCTGCAAAGGTCTTAGCAGCGCTGCCCTGGGGCAGCCCCCAGTCCTTGGAGCCCGCTATTCCCCTAGGGAAAGCTGAGGAGGCTGCCCTGGGAGGCCAATATACTCAAGCAAAGGTCTCAGAGCTGAAGCAAAAATAAGGAGGGGTGGAGGGCACCTGGGTGACTCAGTCATTTAAGTGTATGCCTTCAGCTCAGGTCATGATCCCAGGGACCTGATGGTCCTTCTCAGTGGGGAGCCTGCCTCTCCCACTCCCTCTGCTACTCTCCCTGCGTGTGCTCTATTTCTCAAATAAATAAAACCTTAAAAAAAAAATGAGAGGAACACAAAGGACAGGCATTTGGACAGAGAACCAGCTGCCTAGGTTCTGGAACTTTCCAATACCTCGAAGTGAGCAATACAGAGCAGAAAGCCTGGAATGCTCTCTGCAGAAATTCACAGATCTTCAAAGTTTTTCCAAAGAGTTTGGAAATACAAAGAAATGACTAAACCTACTTGAAAATATGTTTCACCTCCTTTTCTTGAGAGCAACAGAAACTTCCTTACTTTTCCTACTTTTTCTCTCTTAACTGTCATTCCTATATGATAATGGCACTGGATCCGAAAACATCTGTATGACAAGAAGTATAACAGAACCCAATGTGAGGTAGGTGTGCTTCATGGGAGTGGTGGGGTGCAAAGGGACCCTGGGGAGATGCTCACCAGAATCTACCCCTCTTACAGACATGGAATGTGATGCTTCACATCAGAGCTTTCTTCATTTCCTCTGACTAGTATTTATAAAGATTTCTCTTCCAGAATGTAGAAAGGGATTGTGACAGTTCATTTTAAGTGTCAACTTGACTGAGCCAGGGGTGTCCAGATATTTGGTCCAACATTATTCTGGGAGTGTTTATGAAGATGTTTTGGATGAGATCAGCATGAGACAGTAGACTGAGTGAAGCAGATTGTCTTCCCTCATTGGGTGGGCCTCATCCCATCAGTTGAAGGCCTGAATACAGAACAAAAAGACTAAACCTCCCACAAGAGGGAACTCCTCCTGCCTGTTGAGCTGGGACATCGATCTTTTACTGCCTTTGGATTTAAACCAAAAAGTTTTTGTTGGCTTTTCTTGGGTCTGGAGCCTGCTGGCACTTGGACTGTTATGACACTACCAGCTCTCCTGAATCTCTTGCTTGCTAAATGTCGATCTTGAGAGTCTCAGTCTCCACACTATTGTAAGCCAGCTCATAATAAATCTCTTCTCTCTACAAACATACAGCCTATTGGTTCTGTTTCTCCAGGGAAAGAGAAAGTACAGGGACTCAGTAGGTCGAGAATGGAAAGGGGGACTGTCTCTATAGGGGGAGCTACAGAGGTGCTTGGGGGCTCAGTGCAGTCAGAGCCTGCCTTTGCACTCCAGCTGCCCTCCCAGCTGAAGTTCCTGTGATCCCTTGCAGCTTCTAGTTAAAAGGACAGTCATGGGCTCTAAGTTTCAGGTGAAAGAGCAAAGATCCTCTGAGCACCCAGCAGCAATCAGCAGCACAGGTGCACTTCTCTGGATTCTGCTTCTCTTGACATTGTGTGACTTCTTTGTTATTATCTCTAAATCCAGTTATTTCTCAGGCTGAGAAGGGCTCACCCTTTGTGATATAGCATAAAGTCTCATCTGTGCTGAAGCAATGGGAGATTTCTTGAGGGGGGAGAGAAAACCCACATGCTGAGAGTGCCAAGGAACCTCCTCCCCACGATCACCTAGAATGCACATGTGTTATCCATCACCATCACCCCAGCACTTCCACCTGATACAAGGTGGGTTTACCTTGGTACATGGCAGGAGAAATTGGCCAACTGACACCCAGGGCCTCATCCTCTCGGAATGTCTCACAAAAGTCCTGCAGCATGGCCATGCCCAGGCCTTGGCGACGGTAAGTCCTCCTGACAAACACAGTGTCGAAGACCGGCAGCAGGTAGCATGCACCCGTGCCATCACCACACAGGCTGCCTGCAGGGGAAGGAAGTGACATGCATTGTTCCCAGACTTGCACCAAGCCACCAGGACCCTGCGGGACTCCTGCACAGCTGGGCATGGATACCACTTGGATGAAGGGCTCACATCACTAAACAATCTAAGACAAAACGGCAGATAATCCCAAACCACCAGTTCTCCAGCTGGCTGATCAGCCCACATGTTACTGATTGCTGGGAGTACAGCCACCAAACTACTGTACTGAAATGAAAAGCAAACCCAGGTGAATGCACCATTCATGCACCCAAGACCCTCAGATTCCTCCCTCACCATTCACAGTTCACAGAGACATTGAAGTCAATGAGGAGCATCTGGGTGACATCAAAATTCTCCATGAACCCAGGGATGATGGGCTGGGAGACCCACCCAACACATCTGTTAGGCCATGGACTTGTTTTGATAACAAAGTGTCATCATGTCCTACTAAGGCAAAGTACATCTACCCTGAATAGACTCAGTCCTGTTTCCCCTACAGCAAAAGTGACCTTACTACAGCAGAGCAAGAGAGGTGACAGTTGGCACCCTTCCCATTTTTCCACCCTGAACTCAACTTCCCTGCAACCAGCACCAGTGCCAGCACTGGTGAGCTGAATCTTATAGCCAGTTGCCTCTGTCATCACCCTAACCAGAAAATCACTGCTGCACGAAGCCTACTACATCACTTTTCTCACTTCCGAACTGCAGAAGTGCCTGTGTCCTAGATGCACTAGAGTCCTGGAAAAGAAGTATGTAGCATATCAGCTCCTATTGGAAGAAGTGGATTGTCCCTGCCAAGATTCAGAAGGTGGGTAATTTCCCAAACAAACAAACAAACAAACAAAAAAGACTCTAATTCTAATCAGCCAGACTGAGTTGCAGAGGTACATGCTACTGTAGTAACTGGTTGCAAAAATGGCCACAATTACTCCCCTTCCTATATTCACATCCCTTTACATGTGGTTCTGAAGCACCTGCCAACAAGAAATGGGATCTCGCCTTGTAGGATCCAGTGCCCTTCCTTTCTCTCTCATATCCCTGCCACTCACCTCAATAACAAACGTGGACTAGCCTGTCACCATGAAAGAACCATGACCCAGGTACCCTTGTGTTCCCAGCAAACATCTTGCTACCCCCAAGAAGCCTGATGGCCACCCAGTTGAAACCCCATGGAAACTGTCAATCAAAAGATTAGTCAGTTTTGTGGCCAAAATGAATGAATGAATAAATAATCTGTGGCCAGTGATCAACACCACCCAATTCACTTGAGATGGCAATTGTAGAGTAGTATTTGAATTTCACCCTTGGTGTTCTTGAAATGATAATACAAACTTGGGTTGGAATTCTGTAACTTCCAACTTTTATAGATGATGAGAACAACTTTCCCCAAATGGAAAGTCCTCCGAAGCTGAGAAGGTTTAAAATTAAATAAAAATATAATTTCATTCACAATAGCCTTTAAAAAGTCATTTTTAGGAATATATTTAACAAACAAAGCCTTGAATACTGAAAAACTACAAAACATTGTGGAGGAAAATTAAATAAAATCTAAATAAGTGGAGACACTTCATGTTCATGGATTGGATGACTCAATACTGTTAAGATGGCTACTCTTCCCAAACTGGCCTGTAAGTTCAATGCCAGTCCTACCAAAATCCTAGAAGGCATTTTTTTGTAAGAGAGAGAGAGAGAAGGTAGAGGGAGAGGAAGAGAGAGAGTCTTAATCAGGCTCTACGCCCAGCCCAGAGCCCAACATGGGGCTCTATCTCATGACCCTGAGATCATGACCTGAGTTGAAATCAAGAGTCAGGGATCCCTGGGTGGCTCAGCGGTTAAGCATCTGCCTTCGGCCCAGGGTGTGATCCTGGAGTCCAGGGATCAAGTCCCATATCGGGCTCCCTGCATGGAGCCTGCTTCTCCCTCAGCCTGTGTCTCTGCCTCTCTCTCTCTCTCTCTCTCTCTCTCTGTGTGTGTGTGTGTGTGTGTGTCTCTCATGAATAAATAAATAAAATCTTTTAAAAAAAAGAAATCAAGAGTCAGACATTTAACCAACTGAGCCATCCGGGCACCCCATCAGTAGGCATTTTTGGGGACATGGACAAGCTGATATTAAAATTAATATGAAATGCAAAGTCTCTACAATAAGCAACCCAGCTCTGAAAAAGAAGAGTAAAGTTGGAGGTTTTATACTACCCAATTTCAAGGCTTCTTATAAAATCAAGGCAAACAAGTCAGTGAGATACTGGTGCAAGGATAGGCATGTTTTTCAGGGGAACATAAATGAGTCTAGAAATAAACTCTTTTACTTTGAACTTCAACAAAGGTGCCCTTTTCTTTTTTTTTTTTTTTAATTTATTTATTCATGATAGTCACAGAGAGAGAGAGAGAGAGAGGCAGAGACACAGGCAGAGGGAGAAGCAGGCTCCATGCACCGGGAGCCCGATATGGGATTCGATCCCGGGTCTCCAGGATCGCGCCCTGAGCCAAAGGCAGGCGCCAAACCGCTGCGCCACCCAGGGATCCCAAGGTGCCCTTTTCAAATGAGGTAAAGATAGTCTTTTCAAGAAATGGTAGTGGGATGACTGGATAGCAATAATTTAAAAAAAAAAATTTAAGAAGAAGCTAGCATAGAACAAAGCCCAGAATTAGACTCACACAAATATAGTCAATTGATCTCTGACAAAGGAGCAAAGTAAAGTCAATGGTAAAAGGACAGTCCCAGTAAGTGATACTAGACAACTGGATATCTACATGAAAAAAACAAAATCTAGACACAGACCTTAAACACTTCAAAAATTTTAACTTAAAATGAATGACAGACATAAATGAAAAACACAAAACTATAAAACTCCTAGAAAATAACACAAGAGAATATCTAGATGACCTTGGGTTTAGCAATAAAATTTTTACATACAACACAAAAGGCCCTATTCATGAAAAAAAAAACCTGATAAGCTGACTGTCATTAAAATTAAAATTTGCTGCTCTGTGAAAGACCATGTCAAAAGAATGAAAATGCAAGGCACAAACAGGGGAAGAGTATTTCCAAAAGACTTGTTTGCCTGATAAAGGACTGTTATCCAAAATATACAAAGAACTTTTAAAACTCTACAGTAAGAAAACAAACAATTTGATTAAAAAGTGGACCAAAGGGACACCTGGTTGGCTCAGCGGTTGAGCATCTACCTTTGGCTCAGGTCGTGATACTGGTGTTTCGGGATTGAGTCCCACATCAGGCTCCCTACATGGAGGCCGCTTCTCCCTCTGCCTATGTCTCTGCCCCTCTCTCTGTGTCTCTGATGAATAAATAAATAAATTTTTTTAAGTGGGCCAAAAATTTTAAAAGACACCTCATCAAATAAGGTATAGATACAGCAGGGAAGCATATCAAAAGATGCTCCAGGGACACCTGGGTAGCTCAGTGGTTTAGCGCCTGCCTTTGGCTTGGGGTGTAATCCCGGAGTTCCAGGATCAAGTCCCACATCAGGCTCCCCACATGGAGCCTGCTTCTCCCTCTGCCTGTGTCTCTGCCTCTCTGTTTCTCTCATGAATAAATAAATAAAATCTTTAAAAAAAAAAAAGAAGATGCTCCACACTATACATTATCAGGTAAATGCAAATTAAACCAACAAGATATCACTGCACACCTAATAGAGTGGCCAAATTGCAGAACACTGTGAAAAACAAAAGCTGGTGGAGAAATAGGACCTCTCATTCACTATTGATAGGAATGCAAAATGGTACAGTAACTCTGGATGGCAGCTTGATAATTTTTACAAGAGTAAACATATTCATACCATATGATCCATGAAATTGTGCTCCAAAAGGAGTTGAGAACTTATGTCTACACAAATGTTCATGGCACCTATAATTGCCAAAACTTGGAAGCAACCAAGGTATCCTTCAATATGTGAATGGATAAACTATGGTACATCCAGATAATGGAATATTATTCAGGGCTAAAAAGAAAAAAGCTATCAAGCCACAAAAAGACATGGAGAAATATTAAGGCATTTTACTCAGAGAAAAACCAATCTGAAAAGTCTATATACCATAAAATTACACCAATTAATGACATTCTGAAAAGGGCAGAAACATAAAGGCAGTGAAAGGATCAGTGGTTGTCAAGGGGTTCTGGGGAGGGAGACATGAGGAACACAGAAATTTTTAGGGAAGTGAAGCTATTCTGTATGATGCTACAAGGGTAGATAAATGTCGCTATACATTCATCAAAATCCATAGAATATACAACACAAAGAATGAACCCTAATGTAAACTATAGTCAATAATAATGTATCTTTCTGTACTGAACTGTTTCTCCCCAAGGTTCTTACATTGAAGCCCAACTCCTAGTACCTAGGAATGTGGCTGTATTTGGAGACAGGGACTTCAAGTGGTGATGACGTCAAAGAGAGGTGACTTCACATTTCGAGTGAGCTCACATCCAATCTTATGAGTGTCTTTAGAAGAAGAAATTTGGACACACAGAGAAGTGCACACCCAGAGGAAAGACCATATGAGGACACAGAGAAAAGCAGCATCTACAAGCTAAGGTGAGAGGCCTCAGAAGAAACCAAACCTGATCTTGGACTTCCAGTCTCAAAAACTGTGAGAAAATTACTTTCTGTTGTTTGAACCATCCAGTCTGCGGTATTTTGTTACAGCAGCCCTAGCCAACTAATAGGTGTATCGATACTGGTTTATGAATTTTGACAAATCTGCACTAATGCAATATGTTAATAATACAGGAGTGTGTGTGTGAGCGTGTAAAAGAGTGGAAGGATAGAGGAGAACTCTCTATACTTTGTCCTCAATTTTTCTATAAACCTAAAACTTCCCTAAAAAACAAAGCCTATTAAGGTACTAGGTATTTTTTAAAAATTAAGTTGAATGCTTACCTCATATCATATACAAAAATTAATTTAGGGTGAACTGAGGCACAAATAGAAGTTAAAACTATAAAGCTTTCAGAAGAAAACAGAAGAAAATCTTCAAGACCT